AGGAGGAAGTAAAACTGTCATTATTGGCAGATGACATGATATTGTACATAGAAAACCTTAAAGACTCCACCAAAAACTACTAGATTTAATAAATGAATTCAGCAAGGTAACAGGATACAAAATTAACACCTAGAAATCAATGGCATTTTTATACACCAACAATGATCTCTCAGAAAGAAAAAATAAAAAAAAAAAATCCCATTTACCATTGCAACTAAAAAAATAAGATACTTAGGAATAAACTTAACCAAGGCTGTAAAAGACCTGTACTAGGAAAACTACGTGACACTGAAAAAAGAAAGAGAGGAAGATACATACAAGTGGAAGAATATACCGTGTTCATGGATTGGAAGGATTAATATCATTAAAATGTCCATACTGGCCCAGCCGGGCGTGGCTCAGTGGTTGAGCATCAACCTAGGATCCAGGCAGTCAGGGTTCGATTCCCAGGCAGGGCACATGTCCAGGTTGTGGGCTTGATCATTGACTCTCTCATCATTGATGTTTCTATTCCTTTCCACTCCCTGAAATTAATAAAGATATATTTTTAAAAAATAAAAAAAATAATAAAATGTCCATACTGCACAGAGCAATCTACAGATTCAGTGCAATCCCTATTAAAATACCAACAGCATATTTCACAGATCTAGAACAGATATTCCAAAAATTCATATGGAGCCAAAAAAAGCCCCAGAATAGATGCAGTTGTCTTGAGAAAGAAGAACAATGTTGGAGGGATCACAATACCAGATATCAAGTTATACTACAAGGCCACTGTAATCCAAACAGCCTGGTACTGGCACAAGAACAGACATATAGATCAGTGGAACAGAACAGAGGCCCCAGAAATAGACCCACGCCATTATGGTCAGTTAATATTTGACAAAGGAGGCAAGAGCATACAATGGAGTAAAGACAGTCTCTTCAATAAATGGTGCTGGGAAAATTGGACACGTACACGCAAAAAAATGAAACTAGACCACCAACTTACTCCATACACAAAAGTAAATTCAAAATGGATAAAAGACTTAAATGTAAGCCATGAAACCATAAAAATCCAGAAGCAAAATCTTAGCTGTCCCATGTAGTGGAATTTTTACAGATACATCTCCTAGGGCAAGAGAAACAAAGGGAAAAAAAAGAAACAAATGGGAATACATCAAACTAGAAAGCTTCTGCAGCCTTAGGCATTTTTGCTCAGTGGTTAGAGCGTCGGCACTTGGACTGAAGGGTCCCAGGTTCAATTCCAGCCAAGGGCACATACCTCAGTTCAGGCTTGATCCCCAGCTTCAGTCAGGGCACATGTGGGAGGCAACCAGTTGATGTCTGTCTGTCTTGTCTCTCTCTTCACTCTCTTTGAAAAGCAATGGAAAGACTACCCTTGGGTAAGGATTAAAAAAAAAAAAAAAGCTGCACAGCAAAAGAAACCATCAACAAAACGAAAAGGGAGCCCACTGTATGGGAAACATATTTGCCAATGACACATCTGATAAAGGGTTAATATCCAAAATCTATAAAGAACTCATACAACTTAACAAAACGAAGACAAGCAATCCAATTAAGAAATGGGCAAAGGACCTGAATAGACACTTCTCCAAAGAGGACATACGGATGGTGAAGAGATGTATGAGAAGATGCTCAACGTTGCTAACCATCAGCGATGCAAATTAACACCACAATGAGATGTCACCTCTCACCTGTCAGAATGGCTCCATCAACAAATCAACAAACGACATGTGCTGGCGAGGGTGTGGAGACAGGGGGACCTAGTACACTGCTGGTGGGAATGCAGACTGGGGCAGCCACTGTGGAAAACAGTGTGGAGGTTCCTCAAAAAATTAGAAATGGAGCTGCTGTTTGACCCAGTGATCCCACTCCTAGGAATGTATCCTAAGAATCCTGAAACACTAATCAGAAAGAATATATGCACCCCAATGTTCACAGCATCACAGTTTACAATAGCTAAGATCTGGAAACAGCCCAAGTGTCCATCAGGAGATGAGTGGATAAAAAGCTGTGGGACATTCACACCATGGAATACTATGCAGCTGTAAAGAAGAAGAATCTCGTACCCTTTGGGACAGCATGGGGGGACCTGGAGAGTATTATGCTGAGTGAAATAAGCCAGGCAGAGAAAGACAAACATCACACGATCTCACTCATATGTGGAATCTAATAAACAAAATAAACTGACGAACAAATAGACCCAGAGATATAGAAGCATGGGACAGACTGAGGGATCTCAGAGGGAAGGGGGCACAGAAAGAGATTAATCAAAGAACTTCTATGCATATATGCATAGCCCAGGGACAAAGACAATGGTGCTGTGAAGGCCTGGGGCGGAGGCAGGAGCCGGGCAGAGGGGGTCAATGGCAGGTGGAAAAAAGGGGACAACTTTCAACAATAAAGATAAATTTTTAAAAAGAAAAATATATATTCTCTCTTATCAAGGTTCAGAGTTTAATATATATTAAATCCATCTTATGTTGTTTAGGTCTTCTGTGCCCTTCCTTCCTAGTTTCTCATTCACTTCAATCTGAGATGCATCAGGCTCCTATTACCAGTGCGTCCATTTTCCTGTATTAAATGTAATTCTTTATATCTCTGTTTGTGGTAAAAATTTCTTTATCTCTTTCAATACTTTTTTAAAAATATATATCTTTATTGATTCCAGAGAGAGGAAGGGAGAGGGGGAGAGAGCCAAACATCAGTGATGAGAGAGTTATTGATGGGCCACCTCTTGCAGGCCCCACGCTGGGGATCAAGCTCGCAACCCGGGCCTGTGCCCTGGCCGGGAATCGAACCGTGATCGCCTGGATCCTAGGTCAATGCTCAACCGCTGAGCCACGCTCAACCGCTGAGCCACGCCCAGCCAGGCTGTACTAACACTTTTATACAATACATACATTCTCTCTCTTTTGGGCTATTGTCTACGTGAGTATGTATGACAATAGAATAAATGTATATGTTTTGGTCTCTCCTCTGCCCCACTTCCTGGCAGAGAGCTCCTAGAACTGTTGCAATTTCCTAGGGATAGAAGTGTCTTTGCTCTAATGAGGTGACTCTGGGTGGCTTCTGAATGGGGGCACCTGAAGGGCCAGCTCATGATTAGAAGCTTGGAATTTTCAGTCCCTCTGCCCCCCCTTCTCCAGAGAGGGGAGAGAAGCTGGGAATGGAGCTAATAAACCATTATACTAATGTGATGAAGCCTCCATAAAAGTCCTGAGACCTTCCAGGTGGGTGAACACATGGAGGTGTGGGGAGAGTGGAAGCCCCACGCCCCTTCCCACAGCCCTTGCCCTCAGCATCTCTTCCATCTGGATGCTCAGCTGTCTTTTCACAAGCTGGTAAGCAGTAAGTAGTGTTTTCCTTAGTTTTGTAAGCTGCCCTAGCAAAGCAGTTGGACCTGAGGAGGGGTCACAGGAACCTCTGACTGACAGCTGAAGCACAGGTGACAACTGGGACTTGAATGACATCTGAAGTGGGAGTAGTGTTATAGGACTGAGCCCTTACCCCGTGGGACCTGATGCTCTCTCCAGGTAGATGAAGTCAGAATTGAGTGAATGGTAGAACACCCAGCTAGTGTCACAGGATTGCTTGGTGTGAGGAAAACTCCACCCCTCTAGTGTCAGGAGTGCTGTGTGTATGACAGAAAAGGAGAAACACAGGACTGGAAATGTCCCCATACAGAACAACACTGAAACTATCTAGGAATCTCAATCCCCTTCCTGTTGCTTTACCCTAGCACCTAACATGAGGCAAAAATCCTTTTATTCCTAGTTAAAACCTGTATACGACAATCAGGGCCTATTCTACTTCTCATGTACTCTCCCTCATCTCTCCTTGATAGCTGTACTATATGTACAAGGTTGCCAAGAAGCCTGGAAAGATCAATGAATACATATGGTTTGTTGATTTTATATTTCAGTACATGATGAAAGAATAGTGCCTATTTCCAGACTTTTAGCCACCCTGTATATTGTTGAAGCACACAGCTACCACATACAACAGTTTCCACTACAACAATCCTTTATTCTTAGTCGTGCAAGTAAACATGCTGTCACCACAGGAGCAATACTGATGCCTCTTCAGGCGTTCTGGTTGTCTACAGCTTGTCCTCCAGACTCCACAGGAAGTGTTTTTATCCAGAATCTTTTTCTTTTATGACATATGGGGGGAGATAAATAGCAGTTTCCAGTAGAGGGAGGCTTATGTTCTTCACAGGAAACAAAGCAGGTCAGAAGCCTGCACTGTACAGGAACACCTGCCTTAGGTTTGTTCTGCCACCGTCCTGCTCAGTGTCCAGCACCAGCGGCCCACCTGCCTCATCCAGCCAACAGTGCACCTGCGATCCCGGAGAATGATGGAGGACACGAGTCACGTCAGGACCACAGACAGGATATGCTTTTCTCCCCAGGGACAAATAAGTCAGCCGCTTTTTAAAACATTATTCCTTGGCCTGGAAAGATGAACAGTGGACCCTATAAACAGGTCTCAACAGCGTTAACCACCATTATCTAGGTCGTAACTCACTTCACCTCATTCGCCCTGTGAAGGGAGGCTCTGCCATCCCCCCGAGTCCACAGAAATTCAATGAAGGGAAGCCAGCTGCTCAGTGTCACTCAGCTCCTATGCTTCCATGTTAAGAATTTGATCGCCAGGGTCTGGCTCTAAAGTCCAGGCTACACGGCACCACACTGCCCAAGAACACAGCTCTGGGGGACCGTGGCTCATCACCATGGGGAGGACCCAGGTCAAAGACCACCTGCAAGTTGATAAAAACAGGGTTGTTATGCTAGAGGGAAAAAAAGGGCCACTATTCAGCTAATTTTCTCAGGGTCACCTACTTTGCTTCCAGGAAAAAAGGTCGTAGTAGTGTCATCCAAGGGAGTGAGTCAAGAGCCCAAGGGAAAGGCGCCTGCTAATTCAGAGGCTGTCTGGAAGGTCGGGCTTCTGCGGTTGCCAGGCAACCAAGGTAAACAGCAGGAAGTCGCAGGATCATGGCCACTAACTACAGTGCCAACCAGGTAAGATCTTTTTCCATCTCTCTAACATTTTTAATTTTGCCTTCAAGATTCTGCCTCCGGACTGACGCCTCCCCGAGGATTCTGGCCACTGAGTGGCTGACAGAGTGGGGTTAGAGTGCTTCCCACAAGCAAAAGGCATCTCTGGGTTAGTTTTAAGGTCTAAACCAGAGGTCAGCAAATTTTCTGTAAAGGGCCAGAAACTTAACATTTTAGGGTTTATGGGCCAAGTGACAAAATCAGAGTTATTATGTAGGTAGGTACATAACAGAAAACACAAAATTCAAAGTATAACAACCGAGTGCAGTTTCTTATACTAATGAAAAGAATGGATTCTTTTGGGAGAAACATTTTGCTTAATTGGGATACAAACTTAATGTTCCCTTTTATCAAATCAATTGCAAGTGTTCATCTATAAAAACCATTCTTGGTTCTCTCAGGCAGTCCCAAAGCAGACAGGGTAGACCCAGCCCATGGCCATAGTTTGCTCACCACTGGTCTAGAAAAGCATTGTCTAATAAAAAGATATTGTGAACCACAAATGCAATTTTTAAAAAAATCTATCTTTATTGATTTCAGAGAGAGGAAGGGAGAGGAAGAGATAGAAACATCAATGATGAGTCATTGATCGGCTGCCTCCTGCACACCCCCGACTGGGGATTGAGCCTGCAACCCAGAACTGTGATCTCCTGGATCCTAGGTCGACGCTCAACCACTGAGCCACACCCAGCCGGGCACACAAGTGCAATTTTAATTTCCTAGTAGCTACATAAAATTTTTAAAAGTTAATTTTAATAATCTCATTTTGCCCAATAAATCCAAAATATTTCAACATTTAATCAATATTTTAAGTTACAACCAGATGTTTTACATCCCCTTTTTTGTACCAAGTCCTTAAAACTCTGTGTATTTTACATTTACAAAGCACCTGTTTGGTCTGTCCCACGTTAAGTGCTCAACAGTGGTTGCGTGTGGCTAGAGGCTGCGTGGGGGACAACACACATTTGGCCCAAACTACACCCTCTCAAAAGCCAGTGTGTGGTTCAGGCCTTTGGTCCTCCAACCTAACAAGTCGTCATCTCCTGGGCTTGGGGTCTTGGAGCCTGAGACGGCTTCTCACCTCTCTCCACAGTATGAAAAAGCTTTCTCACCCAAGTATCTGCAGAACTGGTCTCTTGCCAAGCCAACAAAACAGGTATTCCACGTTAGTGCGCCACAAGGCCAGTTTCTGTGTAATTCACTGCCACCAACCTTGAGCTCCCACACCCTCTCCCTCCGCCCAAACTCAAGCCCCCAGATACCTTCTCCCTTTCCATCTCCCCCAGCACTTCTCTCCCACCTGTACCCCAGAACATTCCTTCCCACGAAGGCTACACTCAGATCATTGCCAACGACCGTGGTCATCTGCTGCCTTCAGTGCCCCGTTCCAAGGTGAGATGCTTATCTCCATTCTTACCAAGAACTAGAGCAAGAGGGGCAGACTTACAACCTCCTGCTGCCACTGCCTGGAAAGTTAAAGTTCAGTCTAATTCATGCCGTAACATGAGTGCCCCCGAACTTCCAGGCAGTTTACCCAATAGGTCAAGGTCGTGTTTAGCACCCAGAATCCCTTAATCTGATTATCTGTAGAAAATGGATGCCTGTGGGTGGTGATATTTATGCAATGGGTGCTCTGCCAAACTCAGTCTAAGGATGAAGTAGTGAAGCCAGCAGAGGTCAGGGGATGACACAGGGTAACCCAAGTCGGGGGGAGGAGTTATGCTTTCATTCATTACCACCCAGTCCCAAAATATGGAAGATGAATACAGGGCCTGCCAGTGGCTCAGTTTCTGGGGGTGAGAAGTCCTGTCTTCTTCCTTTTAGGCAAGTCCTTGGGGTTCCTTCATGGGCACCTGGCAAATGCCTCTCAAGATACCCCCTGCTCGGGTGACCCTGACATCCCGTACAGCTGCTGGTGCTGCCTCCCTCACCAAATGGATCCAAAAAAATCCTGACTTACTCAACGCCTCCAATGGACTGCATCCAGAAATCTTAGGCAAGGTATCTACTCCACCCACCTAACCTCAAATCCTGTTTTCTCAGTTTCTTTTCAACCTCAAAAACGACTGTTATACCTCTGCTATTCCAGCAGGGGGACATCTAACCAACTGTCCTTGGGTAGACGTCCTAGGCCTCTAACCAACAGTCTAGTCCCTCAGCACCTTCTGAGGTCTAAAGGGCTGAGCTAAGGACATCTTACCCCGCAGTACAAAGTGATCTGATCTCAAGGGGAGGTTAGCGCAATCAAATCTAACTCTTCTTGTTTGGAAGCTGACCTCTGGTCCATGGTATGGGGTGAAAGAAATTTAGAATTCTGAGTGGGTTGGGAGTGACCTAGGCCTGACCAGGCTCTCTTCCGTTCCACCCCGACAGCCCGGTGATCCAGGCAGTCAGAAGAAACCCCGGAACTCTGTGAAGCAAGCACCAAGTCCAACCATAATCCCAAACTCCCCAGCATCAAACCTCGATTCCCCAGAGCAACCCCAAAGCGCACACCCCTCTGCAGGTCACACTCCTGGGCCCCTCAGCCCAATCGACTTGCCTAAGAGCCCACCTGGAAGCGCATGCATGTAGAACCCTGGGTGGGTCCTAATCTAGCCGGGGCCAAGGTGCAAACCTGGAACTCCAGAGGGGACCCCACCTAGGAAACCTGTCTAGAGGAGTGAAGTAAGAAGAGCCCCAGTTAGGGAAATGATGGAAATAAATGCAAATTTGGAAAATAAACATTGCTGTTGACTCTTTCACTGATTTTGATTTTTCCCTCCGGCTGCCTCCTATCACCAACCAGAAGGGCTGGGGAAAGACAGAGAACATGACAGAGGCTGGGGGGTAACACATCTGTATAAGGATTGAGTCAGTTATGCTCCAGAAACAACCAAGGAAGCTGGTTTGAATTACAGCACCCCACCCCCACACCTGTCTTCCTCCTGAGCACCTCTGCATGTCCAAAGACAACATCAAGGTCAGCAGGACAATCGTTTAGTAGGGCATGGGTATGTGGGTTTGGAGGTGGGGAAGAAAAGGAATGGGAAGCCAGAGTAGAAGACACTGTCCTTGTCTAGACTTCCTGTCTGATGACAGAGCACTCAGCGAAAGCACATAAGCTACAAAAGCAAAAGTACAAATATGGTTTGGAAACTGAAGATATACAAGTGATCAGAAGACAGAGAAAATCAAAGTGTGACGGTAAGCAGAAATTTAGGACCAAACATAAACATGAAGACCAGTCTGCCACTGCCCAGCCCCAACCATCTAAATGGTAAGAGGCCACCAGAGGTCAAGTCCCTGCCCACCCCCCACCTCCAGCTTCTGTGTGGCATTGCCAGCGTGTGGTATCTTCCCAGCACTCACTGTTCAATTCAGTGCCCTTACCAAGCCTTTCGCAGCCCCAGTGCCAAAGTGTCCCTCCTGAACTGTCCCTCACTCCAAGGACAAGTACGAGGACATATGGTTTGGGCTGTAGGAGGCTGACAAGGCTTCCCAGGGCCAGTCCAGCAGAAGGAAGACATGATCTTACTTAAAGCCAGAGAGCACTGTTAACACAGAGGGTCCCCAGTGCCACACTTGGTCTTCCTCTACAGCTGACACCAATTACGTCACTGTCACTCCTCTCCAACCCACAGTTCTCACTGGCTAGCCAACAACTGAGTAACAGACAACAGAGATCTGTCACCCCCGTTTTATCAAAACAGCATCCCTGCCAAGGGAGTTAGGGACCCAGAAGCCTGGCCTCCTTGGATTCTAAAAGCAAGTTTCTCATTAAGTAGAAACATTTGCCAGGTTTTCAGCAATCCCTCCTTTTTCTCTCCCCTCAAATCTACACTTAGCTCATTGGCCCTCCGCTATCAACTCCCAGGTCCTCCGGCTCCCTCATGAGATCAAACTCTGTTGAACTGCACCATGGGGTTTACCCTTGGTTCTCAGGGGGATTCTGGAGCCTGTGACAGCCCAGCTCTCTGTGCTTCCCTTCCTCCCTCTTGCTCCTTCCTTCTCTGAGGCTTCCGCATGGTAGTAAATCTCTGGCTACTTGTGTCTGACTCTAAAAATTTTCCCAGTTGTAAAATAAACTGTTTCCCTCCTGAGCAAGGTCAGATTGGAGGACATAAGTCCCTGGGACCAGAGGAGGGGGAAGAAATTGGCTCCTCCTCAATTGCCATTCTCTTGGTTTCTCTAGATTTCAAGAAGAGTCAAAGACAAAATGAGTATTTTAATTAATTTCAGAAAAAGATGTCACATGAATTTAGATTAGTAAACATGACAATAAGAGGCTTGTTTTTCTGGAATTGCAAGGAAAATAACCCTTAATAGGTTCAGCAATAATTTTCTGGATCTTTCTCTTGTATCAAAAACTATACTCTTCTCCCCAAAGCACCTGCTCCAAAAGTCAGCTCACCCTCCTTATCTCCCTCTAGCTGGGACAGGCTAATCCCCCCCTCTACCGTGTGGGTGCTAAAGGCCCTGGGCTCTGACCAATGAACAGAAGTGTCTTTTAAGCCAGCAACCCACAGGCAGTGGCACCCAAAGCCCCACTCCCAGTTCCCATGGCAGAGGCCACAGAGCTGGCTTTGTCTCCACTGTCTCAGGAAGAGGAGCCAAGAGCTGACCCTCAGCACAAAACAAGACCTAACAGGGAGAGAATGAGGCTCCTAGGCCTGGGGAGACTGCAAGCGGGGCAGGAAAAGGGGGCTTCTGCAGGTGTTCCATCCTTAGAAGCAAGGGGACACTGGAGTCCTCTCTAGAGCCGAGCCTCTGTAAGGTGCTCTGCTGCTGAGCCCCAGGGACATCTGCAAGCACAAAAGGGTCTGAACAAATCAGGAGAACTCTGCCCTGGCTGGAGACAAGACAGACAAGAGGAAACCGGGTAACAAGCCATCTGTGGGAGGATAGAGCTGGGGCTGGAGCCCTTCACATGGCTGCCAGCCCCACGGAGCACAACACAGTGAGGGCCAGGACAGCCACACCAGACTGGTGCAGCTGGGGGATCTTCAGGCCTTTTCCTAGGTCCCACATCTGTAGGAAAAAGAAAAAGAAAAAAAAAGAATTTCAGCAATCAGGACCCTGGTCACTGTCGCAGACCCCTTCTCAGAGAGAAACTCTGCCCAATGGAGCAGGCGGCTCCTCTGGGCCTGTCTGGAGGAAGCCCTTCTCCGCGCCCGCCTCTACCCATCAGCGTCCGCAGCCCGGCTCCTACCACCACCGATCCTGAGGACAGAAAGGCACCTGCACCCTGATATAAAAGCTTCCAGACTGAACAAAGCTTTCCCCAGACAACACAACCAACGTTTCCCAAAGTGTGTTCTTTCAAATACTCGTTCCTCAGAATGCTGAAAGGGTTACACGGGGAAAGTTCTGTGGTAAAAAAACCTGGTAAACATTTAACTGAGAGACTTCTAAACAATTTAGTGCACACCGTGCATCTCCAAAGCGGGGATATGACACACGGTTTCCTAGGTACAGGCCATCACAGAGTCCCTTTGTGGGAGGAGCACTGGCCCACCTGAGTCCTAACCAGTACTCTAAAAACACCCTGGAATCTAGAACACTATTTCTCAATTTGGTTTTGACTGCGAACCCCACTAAGAAACATATTTTAATGAGTGCCTCACGTTAAGGGAAAACTATAGGCATCGCTTGTGCTACAGCCCACGGTGTTGACCTGGATTTAATATCTGACCTGACTCTGTCTCCCACAAACATTATCTTAGTCAGCCCTTCTGGAACACCCTGGTCAGCACCTGGAAGGTCATCCCCCACAGAAAGAAGACAGTCTGCATGATAAAACCCCATATCCTCTTCTCCCAGAGAAAACTTGTCCTGGTCCCAAAATAATCCCATCTTTTCTTTTGTCAACACCTCCCTTGCCCCACCCTACTTCCTATAAAAACCTTCCATTTGGTACAACCCCTCCGAGTGGCCTTTCTAGTTGCTAAAGGGGTGCTGCCCCAGTTCATGAATCACTTAATAAAGCAATTAGATCTTCAAATGTACTGTTAATGAATTTTATTAACATATGTATAGAAAAGTTCATGCCCCAGGGATATTAACTCATTGTGCTCTAAGTTGCTGAACATCCCTTATGGTGAAAGTAGTGTCTTCGGGTTCCCCCCTTTCCCACATGACTGGCCCCCCCACACACACACCCACACTCTGAATATAAAAGTGACTAAATTAGGAGCACTTCAGAGAAAACTTAGAGCCCAGGAAAAAACTGAGGATGCCCCACCTCAGCTCCAAACAGCTTCTGCTTAGATCAGATGGAGTCAAGCAGAGTCACAAAAAGCTATTCTGGCCCGGCCGGGCATGGCTCAGCAGTTGAGCATTGACTTAGGATCCAGGAGATCTCGGTTTGATTCCCAGTCAGGGCACATGCCAGGGTTTCAGGCTTGAGCCCCAGTGGGGGGCATGCAGGAGACAGCCGATCAATGATGACTCTCTCATCATTGATGTTTCTCTCTCTCTCCCCCTCTCTCCCTTCCTCTCTGAAATCAATAAAAAGATATATTTAAAAAAAAAAAATCTGTTCTGCTCATACATGCCCAGTGTCTTACAAAACAGTCCTGCTGGGTGGCAGTGAGGGGAGGATGCTTTCTAGACCGCCAGACTATCAGCTCAGCAGACAAGAACTCTGGGCTGTCACAGAACAGAACACCCTGCTCCACAGTCAGAGCCCTACTTCCTAAGAGAAAGTAAAAGCAGATTTAAGGGCTTACGAAAGCTGTACTGCCCTGGCCCCGTGGCTCAGTTGGTTGGAGCATTGTCCCATACACCAAAAAAGGGCTGCGGGTTCAATCTCTGGTCAGGGCATATACATGAGTCAACTGATCAGTTTCTCTCTCACATCAATCTCTCTCTCTCCCTTCCCTCCTTCTAAAAAAATCAGTGAGAATTAAAAAGAAAAGCCATACCTTAGCTCTGAGATTCTGTAAAACCCCTTCCCCCATGTACACACTGAGACAAAAGCCAATAGGTGCCATCCCCTGCCTGGGCCAGGATATGACAGAGGAAGCTGGTCACTGATTTCCTTAGAGAGCTTTGTCCTACGGGATAAGAAGTCCAAAAAGGAAACGCGCCCCCCCTTCGGGGAAATAAAGTCATACTGGATCAAACTGAGCACTGCCGGAACAGCTAGCTGACAGGTACACTGAATTTAACAGTTCATTTACCTCTCATTTTTCTACTCCATTAAACTGTCCACTGGACCAGAATGAAACTCAGAAAGTACTTGTCTCTAGGCTCTAACATCGAAGTTCTAAAAGGTCAAATTAAGGCAAAAGCATCCATGTGAAAGATGGCTCAGGTTGAGAAGTAATGGAAAACGGAACTGTACTTGTCTTCCTGGGAAAGGAAGCAAGACTAGGGGTAGGGAGCCCACAGAACTGGAAATCTCCAAAGTGCTGGAGGAGGGGGTGATCTCCTTTATGAAGACGAGATACAAGTCTAAACTGACGCCAAGGTCGTGCAGTTCTCAGGCCATTGAGACATTTCTAAACCCAATTTTACAATCTGGGATTCTAGGCGCTCAGTTTCTGTGAATGCTGGCCCCGTTTGCTCCAATAGCTCAAGACAAACAAAGACCAAATACAGTTAATGCAATTCAGTGTCAAGATAACAAAAGTCAGTGTATTTGAGGGCAGCCAAGGGCAGCCAAACTTGTCTCTCTGGGTTGCAGGAATGTCAGACTGAAAGCAGCAACCATGTTTCTTTCTCTAACTCACAGTGGAATCCTCATGTCTAGAGCAGTGCCTGACACAGTAGGTACCAAGTATCTGTCTAATAAATATGCCTTCCATGCCGATGTAAAACCTGGCTTCAGGGGTCTCTTTTAGTAACAACCCTCTTAAAACTGGAAGAGTTCACATGGAGACCCTGTGAGTGTCTGCCGGGCCTAAGAGTGCTCAGCTCCATCCCCAGGAGAGCTGCCCAAGAGGCCCCTGAGCAAAGGCCCAGCACAATGAACTTGAGGAACAAAACTGAACCCACAGGATGAAGGAGAGCATCCTCCCAGCCTCTCCATTCCCCTTACCTGGCAAACATAAGAATCTCAATGAACTTACCAAGTGTCGGATCCCGTTCCAGGTGTGATACATGAGCGGGAAGACGAGAGCAAACTTGGCTGTGTGGATCAGCGCTGGCCCCAGACACAGGGACTTCACAAGTTCCAAATGAGACTCAAAGTTCCCAGGGAGCAACAGGGCCGACAAACCAAAAAGAGAGACCCCTGAGAAGAGAACCACACAAGCCCATCACAGCTGCCCACCAGCCACAACCGACGTAACACGTGAGCTGGCTCTAGGATCACCCACGACATCCAGGACCACCTGGGTCAAGAGCACAGTTCATTCAGTTACATTCCTCTACAACACCTGACGACACCTACTACCTATAACAACACTACAGCACTGTATTTTCTTTTTCTAGTCATTCTTTTTATTGCTGTCTGTTCATCCTGTTGACTTAACCTTTCCCAATCTCACTCAGTTCTCACCTGTCGTTCTCAAGGAATTTACCTAGTCTCATCCAGGTTTCTATACCACCTGTCACTATGAAAAATCATACTTTAATTCCTACAGAACCTAAGCAATGGAAGGATGTTACTAGCCCTCTCCATCTTTTAAAGAACTATTTGTAAAGTTCTTTTTCTTTTTCTTTTCTTTTTAATCCTCACTCGAGGATATTTTTTCCACTGCTTTTCAGAGTGGGAAAGACAGATAGAAACATCGATGTGAGAGAGACACATTAATTGGCTGCCTCCCACACATGCCCGAACTGGGGCTGGGAGTGAGCCAGCAACCAAGGTACATGCCCTTGACTGGAACTGAACCTGAGACCCTTCAGTCCTCGGGCCGACGCTCAAACCACTGAGCCAAACCAGCCAGGGCATAAAGTTCTTTTTCAATAAATTCTATTTTAAAGTCAAACTAGTGCCAGCATGCTTTTTAAGTTCAACATGCTTTTTAAAAATATATATATAAATATAGCTTTATTGATTTCAGAAAGAGGAAGGGAGAGGGAGAGAGAGATGAGATGAGGGAGAGATCCCCAGTCGGCTGCCTGCTGCACACCCCCGACTGGGGATCGAGCCTACAACCCGGGCATGTGCGCTGACCAGGAATCTAACCGCAATCTCCTAGATCCTAGGTCGATGCTCAAACCACTGAGCCATGCCTGGCCAGGCTCAACACGCTTTTTAGGATTTCTGTATTGGCCACAAAATCCCTACAGTCTGAATAAATATCTTACCATGGACTGTCTAGGCCAGCTGTTCTGTTGCTGAAGGAAACAAGAGTATGAACCTCTGTGGACCCATGGTCTAGGGCAGGGGTGGGGAACATCAGGCCCATGAAATCATTTGGTCTGGCCCTGCCAAGGCAACCACAGGCAGGACTCGAAATTCAATAAATCTAGCTTTTTTCATAGCTGATTTTTAAGTTGATAATTTCATATGGCCCTTGAATATCCAAATGGCCCTTGGCAAAGAAAAGGTTCCCCACCCCTGGTCTATGGGCTCAAGTTCCAGCCTGTTGGCATGGCAGCCACCTTCCTCGGTGCACTCTGCCCTTACCCACAGGCCCTGCACTCAAACAGCAGACAGCCCTGTGATCATTGCAGCACCTGGCATTTCCAATCCCTGGGCCTGTGCACAGATCACTTCTCCATTGGAAAGCCCTCCTCTACTCCTTGTGAACTTCCGACTCTCCCTTCCTTCAAGCTCAACTCCTCCAGCTGGTCTCTCCTCTGCGATCATCTCTATTACAAAGCTATCACAGTGTATTATAAATATTTCTTTGTCTTACTCCTTAGACTCCTCTATACTTGAGGGGAGAGGCTATTAACATCACTCCCCAATTTCCAATGTGTAACAGGAGATTAATCAGAAGGCAGGAGGAATGAACAGCTCTTTCTGAAATGACCACTACAAGCAAACATCCATTTGGGTGCTCTCGTTTAGTAAATAAAGACTTCCCAAGTACCTACTGAGCACAAAAGGGTATAAGTGGCAATAAGATAGACACAGTCCTCATTCTCTGAAGAATTTACAGTCTAACAAATGAGATAGATTTGTAAAACTTAAGCAAACAAAATAATTAAAAGTCATGTAATAAAAACTATGAAAGAAACCACCAGTGTAATAAGAACTATGAAGGATAGTGCTGTAAAACTGAAAATTAACAAAAGATCTAGAAATAGAAACTACTTTAGATATGGCAGTAAGCAAAGTACTCTTTCAATTGACACTTTTGTGAGGGAACCAACCACACAAAGCAAGGGGTAGGGAGTAAACACGAAACGGCTCCGTGCCCAGGAACTAAGACAGGTGAGGCGGGAGCAGGATCGAGGGGAGCTGGGGCAGAGATGAATCAGGTGGGGCCAAATCAGGCAGGGCATCGTAAGGCTGTGGTGGAGACCTGAATTTGAATCCAAAAGGAAAGGCAAACAATAGTAATATAATAGTTAATAGGAAAACTCTAAGCCTGACATGATTCAATTTACTCAAAAAAGTTTTATTTTTCTTGCTATTGTGTGAAAAGAGACTGAAGGTGAGCCACAGGATGCAAACACCATGTTGCTGGGGCAGAACCACTTCAGGCCAAAGGCTCTGATCCTCGCTGCTGTTGGGTGCACACCACCCTCTCAGAGGCTGTTGCTATTCAATTAAACGTGCTTCTTATCCCTGTTCCCGTAGGTCAACCTCCACAGTCTAGTTCCTAAAATCCCATCAATTCTGGGACAGGCATTATTGATATGCCCACTTTATAAGGAATAAATGGAGGTTTAAAGAGCTAACAAAGCTGCCTGAGCCATCCACCTAGAAAATGGCTCCCTTCAGCACGGGGGAGGCACGGTGACTCTGCCCAGAGGACAGTGACTGTGCTCCACCACGGAGCCAGGGACGGGCCTTTGGAAGAGCAGGACATGTGCTGATGAACACATGGTTGTTCAAAGGGTAAGGACAAGAAAACCTCAAATAACTATCCAGTACAGTTGTGAAGGAAATATATTCAATTTCAGCCATGTTTAACAAACTAATACTTTCTTATCATTAAAGTCCATGATCTGCCCTGCTGGCGTGGCTCAGCGGTTAAGCAGCGACCTAGGATCCAGGAGATCGCGGTTCAATTCCTGGTCAGGGCACATGCCCGGGTTGCGGCTTGATCCCCAGTAGGGGGCACGCAGGAGGCAGCTGATCAATGACAACTCTCTCATCACTGATGTTTCTACCTCTCTCTCTCCTCCTCTCCCCTCCTCTCTCTGAAATCAGTAAAGATATATTAAAAATTAAAAAATTTTAAAAATAAAGTCCATGATCTAGACTATTTTCATTCAGTGGTGACAAGTGCATCAGGCAATCATGGAAACTACAGTCTGAAAAATAAACTGCTCCTTCTCCCAATGCTTTTAGGGCACAACCTGCTCATCAATACCACCCAACTAAGCAGAAAGCATCAATCTAAAAAACATAAGATTCAAACAAGCAGAAATACAGAAACTATGAACTTACACTTAGAATAGCCCAATCTTGCACTTATCCTGTTATTTTGGTGCAAGGAGGTGAATGAAGCACCAGAAACTACCCACGGATCCCCAGGTGACATCAATCATTCTTATGCCTAGATTCTACCATCCCTTTAACAGCCCAAGGAATGACAACATCAGGTCTTAGCTGAGAGTTTCTATCCTCACTTGGTCACCAGCAAAACTAACCTGGCTGTGAGGAGCAAGACCTGGCTTTAGGTAATTCCTGCCACTATCTTAGCTGCAGCTCCCTAAACACAGGATCCCTACGTGTAAGCCACCAGCCCTGCTGATGACCACTTCAGTAACAGTCCTCAGAAGCCTAGGAAGGGCCCTGAGGATATTATAAAAAACAAAAATATTTCCATGTCTCCAGCAATAGCCAGAGAAAATTTTAAAACACAGCTGATCCTCTTGTAAAGTGTCTCCCTCCTTGGAAGACACGTCCCATCCCAGAACTGAAACAAACCTCACTACCTGAACAGGATGAACTATAACCAGCACACCATCACCCCATGGCTGTTTTTACATTACATAAATAAACAGGCACTCTGGTCTGTAACTGAGACTTTGTGAGACGAGAGCGAGTCAGGCTTTGAGCCCGAGCAATCCTGGGTGACAAGGAACAGGGGCTAAAACTGAGTCTCTGCAAGAATAAGGGTGGTAACTGATCCTGGACTGTGTCTGGTCAATGTTCAGTCAGCCAACCCACATCTATTACATTTCTATTTCTGCTCTCTGTGACGTCAATAAATATACCAGCAGCATGTGCTACGGATGATTTTAAAATCCCTAAGCAAAGAACCTGAGCATAATGGGAACTCATAATTAGTTGTTAAAGGAACAAATGAAAATAAGCTTAAATGGACTCATCATTTTCTCTAAATCAGTTACTGAATTGAAGGAGGCAGTGCCTAGAGCCAAAGAAACAGCAAAGTTCTTCACAGAACTGTGTGTGTGTATGTGTGTGTGTGTGTGTGGGTGGGTGTGTGTGTGGTGTGGGGGTGTGGTGTGGTGTGGGGGTGTGATGTGGGGAGTGGGTGTGTGTGGGG